TGCACCATTACTACCTGGGCACATATATTTATTTTTATGCTTTCATCCTGGATGGATGATGAGGTAACCATGATGAAAACACTTTTCTTCACTATAATGGGTAGTTATTTAATGTAAGATTCAGCCTTTAATGTTTTGCAATTGGGGTATTTATTAAAATCCAAAATAAGATAGATGCTGCTCTAGTAAAGGTTAAATATTAATAATCACCTCTTATATTTCATTAAATAGAATGTAGTTTTTTTTGTGCAGTATTTTATGTTTGTACATTAATAGTGGATTTCTTAACTAAAACTTTATATGAATTTATATGCCAGTGATAGTTGTGTTGCATGTCATACATCTGTGAGAGACAAAGAATGAGAACATCTATGATAGAAAGCTGAGGACAGACAGAGTTAGAGTGAGTGAGGGGAGGCAAAGACATCTAGTCCGTCAGAAGCTGATGTATGTAGGTAGCAACGGGGATGAATAATACATATATTTGAAATTATAATTAAACTGATTGGTGGGATAGATTTAATGTCCTGAAATGTGTCAAGTCAATGACCACTCTGCCATTTTTCCACTGAGCTATTAATATTAAAATAAAGAGCACAGTGTATTTTGACTGGGCCTGGGACAAGTTGTCAATCAGAGTGACTTTTCTGACAGATTATAGCCATCTGGCTCCAGGCAGAAGAATAAATAACATTTAATTACCTGTCAAACTCTCATCAACCCATCAACTAACAATGCCAACATCAAGAATACACTAATTATTCAGTATTTGGTTTATTTTCTTAAATATAGGCCATTTTCTTCAGGTAGTGCTTTATCTGCTTACCTAATATCTTAGAAATGTTTTTGTGTACTTCCCAGTCAAGTTTTCGTGAAGCAATCAAACATCGTAAATCCCTTTAAAAAAAGCAATTCTTGCTGTTTTTGCATTTGTGCAACTACAGTGTACAAGTTAGAAAAGTATTCTGGTTATAACACTCTAGTGACGTAATAATCTGCAGTTGAGCTCTTAAAAATAAAGACGACCACCAGGGTTGGATGCAAGCTGCTCCTCTGTTCAGCCATGCGCAAATAATCCAGCTTTAAGTCGCTCTTGGACTGGGAGTGATTTATTTCATATTTCATGTTCTTGATGAGAAAAGGGCAATTATGGAGAAAAATAATGGAGGAGTTGTGTTGATAACATGGTGTAAGAATTTTCTGCTCAGAGCCAGCTGCTGTTGGATGAGGAATCAGACGGGAACTAACAACTGAACATTTTAAATGAACTTCTTCATGCTGGCTGACTATAGACATATTTCTTAATCTGCAACATGGAGATGGTTGTGATGTTTAACACTTTTCCCACATACAGTAACCAGAAAAAGCCTCACTGAACGTAAATATACTTCTTACGGACAAAGACTTGTCTGATGTTCCCACTTACAGAAGCGTTTTTTCACTAGTATGAGTTATTGTTGTTGTTATAGTTTTGCAGCACATGACCGGCAGCACATATTGCTGGTTTTTGGTTGCTTATCTGGAATTGGACTAGATGTTTTGCATCATATATTCACATAGCGGCAGGTAACTGGTTGATCCTTGATGAAAATTAATTTTATTCTTTACCGACATATACTTCCTTTCGTCTGAAAGGTGGTTTTATTCATCATCTACTGGACCATAACGCCTCCATCAGCTGCACCCCAGCACAGCACAGACAGTAATGACTTAATTAACTGGTTTATTTCGTGGTTAATCAGTTAATTAAAAGCAAAGTAATTAGGTTTTAAAGACTCTCAAGAGAACCTGGAAGATGTCAGTAAAGGATTACTGAAAAGATCATCACTGAGAAATCCTGTTCATATTTTATCAAGCTTTCAACACAGTGCTTTGTGAAAAGAGGACAAACACATGAAGATCATGTGTTTGTACATTGCTAATTTTGTCTGAGTGAGGCCTGTGTGACATTTGTGTTGCTCAGATTAGGAAATCACACATTCATTGTTTTTTGAAAAAGAATTGTGCCAGTACCCAACTTGGCCGCAGCAGTTGACTGCATTGACTCTCATGTGAAGTATCGAGCCTCCAGTGATAGCTGTCGAAATGTGTTCTGTTGTTATGTTTGACCATGTTTGACTCATTTAAGATTATTGTAAAAATCCTTCTCACAGAAATGGAGAACTGTGCTGCCCTTTTTGCAAAACACATCAATCATTTAGCACATTTCTTTTTAGCAATGCCAACAGCGTCGCTCTGGAGCACGATTGGTGCGCTGGTTATTTCAGTGACCACTTTGGACTAAAGATATCCAAACATGTCTCAACAGCCACTGGGTGAAATGTGATACCTTTGATGTTCATGGTTTCATAAATCTGAATGACTGGTGATCACTTAACTTATATTCCTTTTCCATCACTATACTGAATGGATTGTCATGACATTCAGTGTAGACATTTGTGTCTCTTCAGGGATCAAGTCCAATAACTTTTGCGATTCCTAAACCTTTTATAGCACCATCACATTTTGAATGTCTCCAAACCTTTGGTTGATGACCAATTTATTATAGTGATAAACTAGTGCAGTGCCCATTGTTAACGTGCCTGGTTGGCATGTGTGATGCTGGTTCCAGCTTTTCTTTCTGACACTGTAAAAGTGACATGCAGTAATTCAGCTGTGTCAAGAAAAGACAGGCTGCATGACTCTAAAGCATTTCCAAATTGCACCAAACTGCACTTCCTTGGGCCCTTTACGATACCAAGTGCCAAGTGTGAAGCTGATAGGTTGACATAGGTTTTTGACATGTTGGGAGTAAGTTTATAAGTTAATGTATAACACATTAACTACCATCATACATTACTAAACTTTAAAGGGAACACGTGTGTGCGTCCTCAGGCCTGAGCTGTCGAGAATTGAGATGTTAAGCAGTGGCTCCTTGCTTTGTGAATAGCAAAGTAGCTAGTTTTAGAAGCATGGAGTCACTGACAGGAGGATGGACAGTAAAATGAGATATGTGACTAGATGAACACACCAAAGCAATTTTACAATGTTCCTGTCTAAAATGGCTTATCGCTCTTTTGTCCTTCACTTATTAACACATCTTCTTTTCTATGAAAGAAAAATTTAGAATAGATGAAACACACTTTAATTGTTTGCACATAAGAAGACTAATTATTTTCTATGAATTTTACAGAGCGGCTGTTTTATGGGTAGTGAGAAATCAAAACGGACTGCAGTGCAATTACACTTTTTATCAGTTTTTAATTACTCTGAATAAATTCCAAATTTCTAAAGAAGACAAATTAGTTCTACTTTCTGCCATGTCAGTCTAATGACAACCTAAAGAGCAGAGTGAGTGTGTGAATTTGAGTGTCTGCAATTGTAGTGTATGCTAGGCATACATAGCCTGTATGTATTTGTATACGTGTGTTGTGTGTGTTTCTGTGTGTGATGATTATGTATATTTTGTGCATTTGAGTGTGTGTTTGGCAGCAACAGTGAGTCAGTCTGTTGCCGGAGGCGTTAATTGAGGCATCAATTAAAAGACTTAACGAGTTTGTTTAATGAGATGAAAACTCTGGTTGTGTTTCTGACGTCAGATTCTCCAAACTGGGCTGTTCCTCCCGGAATAAGGTCAAACACATTTGTTTTCCTCTGTCTTTATTCTCCTCTTCCTTTCTGTGATTTGTCTTGTTTAAAAAATCTGCTTTGCTCACTTGCTCCACCTGTCCTTCAGTCTCACACTGTGTCCTCCTTTAGATCACTCCTGTCATCTTTGATCTCTAATTGTCCTCTGAGCTTTTTAGTGCCAGAAACCTTCAACATTTGGGCCTGGAAGAATGTTCTTTACTCAATGGACACAAAGATACATACAGCTGATGTAGAAAAATGGTTAGTTATGTCCTGCCACTAATTTAAAACCAGCTGTGTAGAGTCATTTCTACCACCCTACAACACGAATGGCAATTAATGGCAACTTCTTTCTATAAAGCACATTGAATTTATTTAAATTCACATTGAGAGAATGGATTAAAACTATATATATAAATAAATGTAAAGGTGTATACTACATTGACAAATACAAAAATACAATGAAACAAAGCATACATCAAATGCTCCACACATCCATTAACCAATCAGACAAACAACACAGCACTCACAGCAATCACACAGTCAAACACACAGCAGCTGAAAAAGAGATATGCACCACAAATTGACTATATGCTGTATATTATAGAAATGGCCTGAGGGAACAGAAATGTTTTAGGTTTGAAAGATGACACTGTTATGACTGACCTCAGGCCAGCAGGCAGCTTGTTCCAGAGAACAGGACCATGGTAACTTAAGGCACCTTCACCAGCTCACCGGAGAGGTCTGACCGGGTTGTGACCAGTGACCAAGTCAGAAATGTACTGTGGCGTGAAACCACTAAGTGCTTTGAAAACTACTAACAGGATTTTGAAGTTGAGTCTGTGATGTACCAGAAGCTAATGGAGAGATTTTAGTACAGGAGTGTTAGGACTCTGGCTACTGCATTCTGAATGAGCTGGAGACATCCGGATATATTTTTTTGACTCTACATATAAATACTATATTATATAAATTAATACAGGAGATGTTTACCTACAATACAAAATGATCTTGTGTGCATCTATTTCGATTTAAAAGTTAACTTTGATATGAGCACCATGAATGTCTCCTGGGGATTCATGATGGAGATTCTAAATTGTCTGTAGCTGTGAAAGTGAATGTGTCCGGTGGTGTACTCCACCTCTCATCCCATGTCAGCTGTGGTCAGCACCCTCAAAGGAGGGATGACCTCTGATGTAATATAACTTACTACAGCGTGCTGCACTAGTAGATAACTGCAATACTCACAGTTTATGAGGATATCGGTTGGGTTAAGTATAGTTAACTTAAATTATACTATACCAATCATGTCTATACTTGATTTGTACTATAGAAAGATTGTATTGCATTGTTGTACTGAACATGTGTTTCATGTATCCTGTGTTGTGCAGCAGACATGACTATGAAGACTCTGGTGGCTCTGCTGCTGCTCTGTCTGTGTGATCCTGGACAGAGCGACTGCCAGACAGACTGCCTGTCCTGCAGCAACTTCCTGCCAGAACAGCTCAGTTTCAACACCATGGTGATGAGTCCACACACACACACACACACACACACTTGCAGATTGCAATAGTGGTAATCCTGAGCAGATTCCCCACTTCCACATAGTTATCCTGTTCTTTCTCCATCTCCCTCTTACTCAACAAATTACCCTTTTGGCATTTGAGTTTTGGACTGTTGTTGCTTAATGATAGATGTCTGTTGCTCCTCACTGCGGATGTGCCTGCCTAAAGCCATGTCTGCTTCTCAGACACTTTGGCAGGGAACGAACAAGAAGACACTCAAGTGCACATGTGCTTCAAACATAAATGTGGAACTATCTGTTCAAAAGCGGCATGCACTTTTATCCGAAGGGAGGTGAAGTAAACCAATGGGACTGGGCATTTATTGCCTTGTGCGGATGTACATGACTGCTACACTGCCATACTGACTGATGCCCCTTGTTTTAATCTATATCTCATTGATTACTTTTATATTTTCTGCTCTCTTGTGTCTCCATATTTGCTTCTTAGATGAAATGAATTTAACTATTGCTTTGATCAATGAGAAACCAGGGTTTCAATGATCAGCCTGCTTCTATTAAATGCTCAAGAAGTACAAAGTATTTCATACACAGTAACAGACAAACACACTCATGTTTGTACTTCTATCTTTGTGAGGACAGTCATCTGCATAATGCATTCCATAGCCCCTAAACCATCACAGCTAAATGCCTCACCCTTATCCTTATCCTAACCGTGACCTAAACCTCAAACAGCCCTAATGGGTCAGAATGTGAGGACCGGCAAAAATGTCCTCCCTTTCCCAAATGTCCTCACTCATTAAGTTCTAAGGCTCAAAATGGCCCTCACAAAGATACACACACACACACACACACACACACACACACACACAGAACCACTGAAATGAAAGGTGCAGGTTACAAGCGGCCGCAAAATCCAATCGATCTTTCTCTGTCATATTGATTTTTGTATTGTCTGAGTTAAGGACTTTCCTCTCCAACAGCCCTCACAAGAGGCTATGAGTAATACTGCTTCATGTTCATTTGTAAGGTATACAATATATAATTAAGATTTTTTTTCCACCCTCTGTAGTTTTATTATTTTGCCCTTCCAAAGTTAGAATCAAAATGGCTCTCAGAAGAGTGTATAGCTCTGCCTTATAAAAGCACGTTTATATTCACTAGACTTGTATATTTGTTTGGATCTACACCAGATTGGACTCATAAATATTAGTGTCCTAAATAAGATTTTTTAAATCGAGATCCATAAATTATTCTTGGAGAAATCAATGAAAAATTTCTCACAATGTTAAAGAATGTGAAAGAAATTACTGGATCCACCCCTGATCTGGATCTGCACCGAAAGTGAGTGTGTTCTTCCCTGACCCATACCACATCTTTCTTGGTAAACTGTTTTGCAATGTGATTTACATGACCCGGACTGATTTCAAAGAGGAAATAAAGAGGATTGTATTTGTCTCTGTCAGGTGTGTCTCATTGAGTGTGAAGGAAGCATCTCCCCAGCCTTCTCCTGGGACCTCTGTCGTAAGGTGCTGTCGTCTCCAGGGTCCTCCCTCAGTGGTATGCTGCGGAAAAGATCTCAGGAGGAGGTGGAGGCCCTGTTTCCTGAGGAGGAGGAGCAGGTGGAGGGAGGTCTGTTGCTGCCCATAGCATTGCAGAGGTTCGATCAGGTGACCAAGGCGCTCGATGTGGACGAGAGGGATCTGGGTGGCAAAGGCAGCCAGCTGAACGATGCCTACAATTCCCAGAATACTGTGTCCCTCGAGGATGAGTATGAAGAGCAAGAAGGGCAGGAAGAAGGGAATGCTGACATGGCAGCAAGAGGAAAGAGTGATGTAGGGTTGAGCTTCTCCAAGAGATTCGGTGGCTTCGTCAAAGGGAGGCACAGCTACAGGAAGCTGATGTCTCCGGGAAGATCGTACCAGAAGAGATATGGTGGCTTCATCGGCATAAGGAAGTCGGCCCGCAAGTGGAACAACCAAAAACGTTTCAGCGAGTTTCTGAAGCAGTATCTGGGCATGAGCAGCCGGGCCACTGAGTTCAACAGTGTGTCAGAGGACCTCACCCAACAGAATGAAATTTAGCAGATTGCACCTTTAAGCCAACGACATAAAACAGATGTATTTTCACTTTCCTTGTTTTGTATTTTAATCACCAACGGGTCAAACTCTAACTGGTGTCACCAAAGTTGACCTCTTTAAAACTTAATAATTTACCAAAAAGTGAAAATTCCAGTGGAGTAAGTAAAAACACTGGGTCCCCCCTGAAACTCACATGGCTGTACCAGTTAAACAATCATGTTTTATTTGATCATTGCTGCACTTTATGAAACTTGAACAAAGCTCCCTAAGTGGGAATTCTGGTGTATTTTACAGCTAAATAAAGGATTTATTTCAATGTTTCGTGTAATCTACGAGTTAAGTCACCAATAACAAGGTCCCCTGTATCGTGCAGTAGCTTTATTTAGACAACCATTTCTGTGCTGGGTCATGTGTAAAAAGTGCCAAATTTTCTTACATGGAGGCCTCTGGTTGTGTGTGGGGGGAGGGGGGAATTGGGTGTTTGAAAAATGTAGAAGAACCTCCATTATTAAGTTTACCAGGAAAACCACCAGGAAAAAGACAAATACCAGTGTTTTTAATGTTTTGGCATTTTGGTTAGGTAATATAGAATATAATGTTTGTGATTTGTGTTAAATAAATGAAAACATGCAAAAACACACTGATTTATCACTGTGCCAAAAACATGTCACCTGGGACAGGTTTAAGCAGAAGATATCTCCCTAAGTTTAGTGCAATGATGAATGGACACACTACACAACACTTAATGTTCATGCATTATACAAAAAACTATCTGTCTGCCAAACTGACGATATGTAAAAATGGGCTTCATCTCTGACTGGCTCCTGTGTCCAGATGCCACATTCATGTATGTAAAAACAGTATTTGATATTTTGCTGTTAACTGTAACAGTGTGAAATGTTTTTGTTGCCCATTATGAGAACTGTAAATAGCTGAATTTAATGTCAATAAAAATAGTTTGCTATTTCGTTTGTGACCTGTCATGCAGCAACTGATTCTGTGTCTCGAAGTATTTTTTTAAACAGCCAGTTATAAAGTAACAAACATTAATCTGTTTACTTCCTTTTAGATAGTATCAATGACAGATATTATGATGACAGATAGTATCAACACAAGTGCTTTTGTAGTTCAGTTAGACCAATGTTGGTCTGATATATTAGAAAATAAAGCAGATATAACTTTTGCCAATTATTGATATTTATAAGACATGGAGTCGACTAGCTCAGAGATCAAATTGGTAGTTTATTAATTATTGGCTTATGACTATCAATGACTTATAGCTCATCTATGAAGCATTAAAACAATATTTTATTTACCATTAGTAAATCCATAATCCAAACTAATTTATTATTTATAAAGGGTGACTGATTAGAAAGTGGAACCAATTCGGTAAGTTAATTTTGTCACTGCCTTACAAATAAAGTCTCCATAGATGCTGCTACTATAGTCTACATGAGGCCTTAAAAAGAAACTTAAATATAGTTTGTGTTGGGTCATTCATATTCATGAATGTATAAGAATAACTTACAATTCATAATTTAAAAAATCCTATCTTTCTTAGTGTATAGCTTATAAATTGAAAACATTTAATGATTTGTATTTCATTCTTTTCTTATAGTGCGCCCAACTCACTCTTTCATGCTTACAAATGTATTTCTGCCTTAGAAGAGGGTGTCTTCTGATTAAAAGGCAGAAACACTTGATGACGCTAAGGTACACAACTGAAGACAAGTCCCTAACATCCACTGGTGGTCACTTTAATTAGTGCAGTAAAACAATTCTCCATCTTGTCCTATGTTCTAAATTGTAGCATTTAGTTTAAAATGGCATAGAGGTAATGATGTCGGATCTACTGAGCGGGCCACATGGCTTTCATAGTACTGCCATACAAGATTTACCTTGAGCCTTTCGCTCAGGTTCGGCCTGTATCATTGATCACAAGCCCAAAACACTTGAAGAGCTAAGGTGCACAACTAAAGTTATGTCCCCATCATCCGCTGGTGGACACTAACAGCTGCTAACATCTACTGGTAGTTGGTTACTTAAATTGTGCAGAAGACCTTCAAACGTACCATGGATATTCATCTTGTCCTTTACTCTAAAATGTGTATTGATGCAGGGGAGCTAACTTTCATACAAACACTACATCAGCCATGCAGACACTGTGCACTACCTTCCAACTCACTAACTAGGCCTCGGACGCCCCTCAGTGGTCACTCGTGAACACGCTTAGCTGCACATATTACTGCATTTTAATCACAGACTGTATGCACTGCTAGAAGTTTACTGAAAACCTAATAAAACACAATACTGATCAATGCAAACATAAACGTGTTTTTGAATTATAAGGAGATTCATAAAGATTTCGTACAAAACATTATAAAACATTTATTTAATAGAAAATATGAACAAGAAAGCTGAAATGATAGAGAGTCAGAGAGTAGATTAGCTGTGCTTTATTAATCGTTGACTCTTATCTCACAAGATAAGAACTTATCTAGGAGAAATCACTCTTGAGTGTGTGAGATTTCCTTTTGAAGGTTCAGACCGGATGTTCCTCTTGATTGTGTGGAGTTATCTGACAGTGGAGCAGAAAGCTGCTGCTCCTCTCCAGACTCGGTGTCGTACCCCTGAGCCTCTGTAACTCCCTGCCGACATTAACAGCGTCTGGACCGGACTGGATCTGTGAGTTTGTGTCGCCGTGAACAGTGAGAGAAACACCGGGACAGCAACTGCCTCTGCGCGGCTTAGCAGCGGTGCAGCTAAACGACCCACCGCAGCTAGCTGTTCCATAGCACTGAGCTACACTCGCTAGCTAACTGTAATGCTAACTGTAACTCTAACAGCAAGAAAAGAAACAGAAAATGTCAGAAAAACTTTCGCGAAACTTTACCGATGTACAAGTCGGGATGTGCTCTGTACAGCTAAGCTAATGACAAATGACAACTAAACGTATCGCCAGCTAAAACTAGCTGTGCTGCTAAAGGTGGGAGTGCAGCAGAGGTTGGGAGCGAACAGAGAGGATCACAACCGTGACAGCTCAAGGTCTATTTCAAGTCAACCTTGTCGGCTTCTCAGGCCCCGTCTCCACCGCTCCCACTGCGGGGTGTTGCTTTTAATGTCACCCGGTGTTAGCTTGTTAGCTTAGCCAAGTAGCATTCACAGTGTTCTCCTAAAACCTGCAGGTGAATGAAGATAAACATTCACGTTCATACAACCTTATGGGAGTTAGATGGTGAAATCAATATTAACCTTGGGTCGTGAACACATGACCAGTATGTGAGGCTGTGTGTTTGTTTGTGTGCAGCGAGCACGGCTATGTGCAGCTGTGTGCGGAGCTCCAGGGCTCTGTCCCCTGTCCTGCTCCCCAGGCTGCTGCTTCCCCACACCGGCTACAGATTGTCCGGCAGGGCCCTCTCGACCTCACCTCACTGCATGGCCGTCAATGGAGACTCCCAGCTGCTGCCTCTGCCCAGCCAGGCCCGGGTGGTGATCTGTGGAGGAGGCATAGTGGGGACATCAGTAGCTTACCACCTGGCCAAACTGGGCTGGACTGACATTGTGCTCCTGGAGCAGGGCAGGTGAGATACATATCTTTAAAGATTTAGGTTGTGGGAGTGTGTGATATTTCAGAGGTGATGGGGGGTGTCATCAATTATAATCCTTAATTTAATGAATTATATTTCAGAGCCCGTGTGGTTGGCTTTAAGGACACTGAATCCACAAAGTTTCCTGCTCTGCCACCTCTTAAGTCCTCTTGGAGGGGGACAGATACAGTGGCGATAGAAAAGAGTTGGTTGGATATTGCTCTATTATTTTAAAACAGGACAAGATGGTGAATGTCCCTTATACTTTTGAAGGTCTTCTGCACTAGTTTAATGATAAGTTGCCAACCACCAGCCGATGCTAGCAACTACCAGCAGCTGTTAGGGACATATCATCAGTTGTGTACCTTAGTGTCATCGGGTGTTTTGGTCTTTTAATCGGAAGACACCCTCCAATACACACCACAAGCTGGTCAGACCTGTGTGTGTGTGTGTGTGTGTGTCACATCTTACCTTGCAGTAATGTTATATTCTTTGTTTTATTGTCCTGATAACAGGCTTGGTGCAGGAACCACCAGACTGTGTGCTGGCATTGTCAGTGTGGCCAAGCCTATTTCCATAGAGTGCCAAATGGCCAACTACTCCATCAGCCTTTATCAGCAGCTGGAGGAGGACACTGGGATCAAAACAGGTCTGCCACTGTGACATGGTTATGTCTTACTCATATTGAACCAAGGCTTATGATAGGACTTATTGTGAAAAATGATTGTCCTTGTGGCTTATAAGTTTTCTTAAACCATTAAATATGTTCAAGATGAATATGAATAACTGCTTTTTATTTCATTATTTTATCTATCCATAGTACAGCCTTTGCTTGAATGATGATCCCATTTTGAGTTTACTTGTGAAATAACCTGGTTTGAGATCTAATGAGTTACATAATATGGCTTTGTTTTGTGTGTTTGTGTGTGTTTTAGGTTATGTGAAGACAGGGTCTTTGTGTTTGGCTCAAAATCAGGATCGTTTCATCTCTCTGAAGCGCCTGGCATCCCGACTAAAGTAAGACCTTAAAACCCCAAGTCAATATTTAGTAATGGAGGTATCTGCCCTATTGAGTTTATATGGATGAGTGTGCTGTCAAGTGGCCAAGGGATTTTTAATGAACACTAAGTCCAGCCTGAGTTTTGTCTGCCACTGCAGGGTATAAACTTTGAGCCTGGTGGTAAGATGTTTCTCCAACATATAAACAAGACAGATTACCTTGTTTCTTTTTACTGGACAATTTTATTACTGGTATAAAATCACAACTATGATCACACAGCCGCTATATCTTTGTCTTCCACTTCATGTGAATGTTTGCCTGATATTGTCATGACACAAACATTTGTCATGATATTTTAAACGGATGTCACAGTGATGTGAAGATCTATCTCCCACACTCTATCCCTAGGGTAATGGGGATAAGCTGTAACATCATTAAACCTAAGGAAGTGGCCAAACTCCACCCTCTTGTTAATATTCATGACCTGGTAGGGGCGCTCCACCTCCCTGCAGACGCTGTGGTGTCTCCACCTGAAGTTAACCATGCCTTGGCTGTGGCTGCTGCTGGACAAGGTAACTCAGAACGTGCATTTGATGGACCAATAATGGAACACTCAATGCAATGTTTAACCAGTAGTACTTTAATCTTGAATTCAAGCCATTTTACTGTTCCGATACCTTCTGCTCTCCTTCTTCATTGTCATCTCCTCCCTCCTTCCCCCTCTCTTGTCTTCTTTCTGCTCACTCTATCATCCACTCATCTTTCTCATACTATCCAGGAGTTCAAATCCTGGAGCGGACCAGTGTTCAGCAGGTTCTGGTGGAGAAGGGTCATGTGATGGCAGTGGAGACTGACCGGGGCTCCATTGAGTGTGAATACTTCGTCAACTGTGCGGGACAGGTAAACCTCGGAGTGGAATTGTGGAATACATGTTAGCATCAATGAATCACAGTGCCATCTTAAATCCGAGTTTGTGAGGGGAAAAACTTTGTAAGCGTTTGAGAATCATGTCAAGTTGTGCATCGATTCAATGTAAAACTTAAGCTGGATTCTTACCTAAGTTTCAACTCAATAGTGGGAGGATTGAGATGGCAGACTGTAGCACTTCCCACAGCAAATATTCTTGTGAAGGCAGTGGAACCATTTGCCACTTTAATGGGTGTGGCTGAAGCTGACTTTGGATGATAGATCTGATAGTTCTTTGTGAAAGGCTGTTGTGGTCAATATACTCGTCTTCTTAGCAGCAACATAGACATATTTGTAATGCCTGTTTCTTCTCCAGTGGGCTTACGAGCTCGGCCAGGCAAGTGAGGTGAAGGTTTCAGTTCCTCTTCATGGCTGTGAACACTTCTACCTCCTCACAAAACCTCTCCAGGAGCCACTTCCCGCCGGCACG